ATTTGAATGATATTGTCTCGAAAACCGCAATTAAAACGATTATATATATATATATATATATATTAATATATATATATATATATATATATATATATAAAATATATAAACGATTATATATATATATATATATATATATATATATATATATATATATATATATATATATATATATAATATTTATACACCCATTTCCAAAAACGTTGGCCGCAGATAGATATACAGGGTGTCTCAAAAAAAACGCAACCACTTAAATATGCAAGAATATTTATATTGTTCGGGTTTGCACCATAGTTCAGCTAAAATGACTTTTAGCATTTTAAATGAAGGATTATGAGCCATTTTCAATGCCCAGAGGTGCTTATCTATTGCGCTTTAGAGCTGTATTAATGTCTTGCATATTTAAGTGGTTGCGTTTTTTTTTGAGACACCCTGTATAGATAGATACTCCAGATCTAATTAGAATTGCATATGTGGTGTAATATTATAGAAATTCCATGCAAATGTAATCATATGCAATTCTAATTAGACTTCAAGTATCTATCTATCTATCTATCTATCTGCAGCCAACGTTTTTGCAAATGGGTGTATATATATATATATATATATATATATATATATATATATATATATATATATATATATATATATATATATATATATATATATATATATATATATATATATATGGCGCGAATATAAATATCAAAATAAATAAATCAATATCAAAATCAAATATCAAAAATCTCAATGTTTTATGCAGAGCCTCGTTTACATTAAACTAAATTTATTGGCACGACACGGCTAAAATTGGTACGTATACCAGTGCCCAGTTTTAATTATCAGTGTTACCAAGACAAAGGCCAAGCACGGCAGAAATTAGTAAAAATTTGATTTATTATACAAGCTCGCGTAACACTATACTCCATATAGATACGACGTTGGTTCTGACTCACTCCCTTGAAGTAACTGGTTAATGCCAACCGTGCAATGTTGTTTTTAGATCAGGAACAACTTTGAAAAAATGGCGGATATTTGCATTTTTCAGGTCTTTTCACTTGTTTATTCACGATTTCTTTGAATCTTCAGGAAATTCCCGCCAAATAAAGCCGCTTATGTGAACGAAATCTATGAGACTAAAGATTGTTCAGACGATAATCATTATGATAATACATGTGAGGTACCTGATGCGGAGGAGATGAGTGACGACGTAACTGGAGATATGAAAAACGATAAGATAATGTAAGTGCCACACAGCAGAACATTAAGTCTGGTTTTCATATGTCGTAATTCATCGACCAAGTTCTATACGATCTATTGTCGGTGATCAATGAAATAAATAGTTTTCTTCGATAGACAACGGATTTTATGTATCAATGGCCATGGACAATAGCCATCGCCGACCGGCTTGAAAACCGGACAGGCTTAACTAATTTTAGTACTTTCTTCTGTGATCACCTGAAGTACCTTGAAAGAAAGAATGTTGCGAAAAGGAAAACAAAAGAATGATCACCAAAAATTTACCTTGTTCTAAGTCATTTAAATTAATTTAGGAATATGACGATGAAATTTATTTGCGTGTTCCTTATTAATTTTATGGTTATTTTTGTGCTTTTAGAGACAAATGCACACATGAATACTCCGAAGTGTTCAAGTGTGACGATGGAGAGAAATATGAGACGAACGAGGAACATGCTGTCCAGAAAATGATAAGCGACAACTTTGCAAGAAGTGTGTTGTCACGATTTTATTCCCAAGAATGGTAAATTTCCTTTTCTAAGTTTTTCTCATCAATAAAATAATTCCTAGTTTATTATCTTTGTTATAAAAATTACTTAATAATGGTAGCCCCACGGCGTAAATGCTGCTTTTCAAATGGGTCCACTTTCGTGAATCAATGCTCAAATTTTATTACACAGAACTTCGATAGAATAACTGAATAGAGTTTTAAAATCTTGCAAGTTCAAATCCTGATTTTAAAATTCTTTCGTTGGCCAATATATATCCGTATAACTTCTTCAAACTTTGATCGCACATGCAGCAAAAACGATATTTAGACATAGTGTAATTCACTACCTAATTTTTTTAGTTTATTTTTTTATTTCAAGGCCGGAGGAGGACTTTGATGGTGATGTATACGAGGAAACAAATACATGTGGAAATAAAAGCAGGTAAACAACATGAATTTGAATGGATTACATGCGTAGTCGTTTCCGGTCTGTAGATAATTTTGTACTGTAGCTTTTAACAAAGATTATATAAAAGGAGTAGTATATCTCTGCATCAAAAATTACTCAGAAAATGTTTATCGAAATGTAAATTTGTCCTAACCCACAAATGCAAAAACGAAGCATCGAAGTCTTCAAATTTACCTACGTAGGGAGCAACCGCATGAGTTACAAGAACCTCAAGGAAAAGTTGAAGAAAAACTAGATGAGAAAGTTACTTCGGAAAACGATTCTTATTTAGAGGAGATGAGATTTGGTAACTCAGATTCTTCGGCAGGTCATTTAACCAATGATGCCATCGATGACAGTGATATTGCTCTAAATATTGGTAACAAAGGTCATGTTAAAAATGTACTGTCATTGTTTTCTAAAAACTCGTAAAATTTACTTGAATATTGATCGATAATCCTACCGTTTTGGGAAGGTTTTTTAATGCTACAAGATGGCTTACTCAGCATATATAAGACCACATACTAAGCACTGCTCATGTAAGATCTAGCTAGAACAATCAATAATTCATGATCAGTGTTTCAAGTGATTTTACATTTTAAAAGGCTAATCATGCATACCCCATTCATGTATTTAACATTAAGAAGCAAAACACTCTCAATTTATCGAAAGGTCGGGCATTATTTCAAGCCAATAAAACTACATCGACGTATGACAAGAACATGACTTGTTACAATTTCCCAGGTGGTATTCTTGTCATATGCATGCCATGTAGTTTTATTTGCTTAATTAATGCACAAATCCTGAATTATGTCAAAGTTTGAGTAAATGTAAATTTGCGTAAATCTGAGTACTGAAATCAGCACAGACTAGATTGATTGTAAAATTGTATACTTTATTAAATGCGGTTTATGAGACCACAATGGAACTGAAGGAAATGCATGTAATCACGATGTAGTCTATCAATAGCACATTGTTTTCATAGAGCCATATAATCCGCATCATCTAACTGTAAAAACCGTCGAGGTACCGGCTTTGCAATTAAAGATTTGCACGGGCCAAAAAAGAACTTAGCAAAAATGGTTTCAACCTTGCCACCGTTTAAAGTTGTTTTTAGTTCAATTTAAGTGCTTTCGCTTGTGAATAAAAACCGGCGTTGTTTCGTTAGTGTACTGAATTTCAGAAAAATTTTCTGAAATTAAATTTTTAATCTGGAATTATCATGGAACTATACACAAAATTGACTCGTAAAATCGATTGAAAGGGATTGTAAAAGGTGGCTTCGGACAGAAAAACTTTGATTTTAATGGATGGTAAAACATCTACGATTTTTGAAGCTTTTTTAGAATGTTGTATCTTAAAGTGCCTATATCACTCGTGGGATCTTTATGCATTTGAAAAGAACGTAAAAAGTTAGTAATATATTTAAAAAGTTTTTTTGATTTAGTGCGATAATTTCGAAGATACAAGCCTCTAAACTACCTGCGGTTCCTGAGACCCAACCTCCCGGGTTTAAACACGGCTATTCAATTTGAAACTGCCCATTGTTTACAGGAGCCTGGGACTCAGGAACTGCAGGTAGTTTCAAGGCTAGTATCTTCAAAATTGTTGCACTAAATCAAAAAACTTTTTTAATATATTAACTAACTTTTTACATTCTTTTCAAATGCATAAAGATTCCACGAGTGATATAGGCACTTTAAGGCACGTATTTATTTATCAACAAAGGCAATGTTAATTAACCATCTCTTTGAAGTTAATTGGAATTAGGTAAGAAGTTATTTCAAACTATTAAAGTTTGATAAAGGTGAATCTGCTTGAAAAGCAGTTAAAATTTCGCTAAAAACTGTAGTATTTAAAACTACTCGTAGGACATTTATAGCTCGAGAATATTTTACTGTTGGACTGATTATAATGTCAATTGCTTCAGGCGAGGGAATATTTTATTGCATGCCTGTATTCTGGTCAGGGATTATTTTAAGGAAATTTTATCACTGCACAAAAGCGCAAAAAGGATAAAATTTGTATCATTTTCCCCACATTACAGAAAAACGTCTGACTGACCTACTTGTTCTGATTCTTCAACCCATGCATTACACTATATACATGCTAGCAAATGAGCCAAAATCCCAGCTGAGCCTATATCACCATCCTCTATTTTTATAACATTAACAATATTAAATTATTGTTGCTGTACTTTTGAACATTATTTATGAAAAAATATTGGTAATTTGTCGAAAAATACCACATTTATCACTGCACATATTCTCATTTATCACTGCACAAATCTCATTTATCACTGCACAAATTGGTTATCACTGCACACTAAAATAATCCCTGATTCTGGTTGCAGATATAATTCAGTGATATAATCCATTTGGCTTGCCATTGTGTCATGGATGCTGTGCAATTTTCGAAGTTATGCGCATGCGTGAGTTAAACACGACTTGAAACTGGTAATTATAATTATATAGCAAACGTTGTAAATCGTACGATTGGCTAAATTGATTAAATAAAACTCTTAACTTTTAAAGTTATATTATTAATCTCTGATCATCTTGAAAATATACAGAAAATTGTATTTAATTAAGATGAATATTATACATGTATATCGAATTCCGAAATTATTATATTATACATACCTTTACTTAGTAATATAAAAGTTTAATTATTATTGACTATTGTATAATTTTATCAGTCCAAAATTGTAAAGTGGGTAAAATTATTTTTTATTTAAAAAATTATTTTGCGGTTTTTCGCCGCTTCGTCTGAATTTTTTGGGGGAAACCCACTGACCATAACTTTTTTGGGGAAACTCACCGAGTTAATAATACGCCTCGATGCACGAGGAATGGTTATTAAATGTATGATTTTCTTAGAACGCGTGTAACAATGCAGGGCGTATATTATATAAAACTATTGCTAAATGTTTCGTAGCACTTGGTCATTAATCAATTCTTTACTGTTGACAGTGTTCGGTGGATATAAGCAACAAGTCAAGGACGTGTTTTATCTTAGTAAGTATTGAAATAAATCATGAATTAATATTTTGACATGCATCTATAGTATATAATCATGGCATTCAACTATTCAAATGTATCTATGTAGTATATGCAGGTAATGCAGTCTTTATAGTATTTGTTTCTACTATATTTTTTTTGAAGTGGTCATCTGGTCGTTCTTACTCTACATACGTAATACATTTAAAAATGTTATTATCGTATTGTATATTGTCTCCCACGATAGTGTCAGTAATTTCTATGACTATGTTGTAACAATTAACTATAAATCCGGTTTGAGACAGCCGGAATGTGGGAAATCGTTCGTTTGGCACAATATAATTGTCATTAATAGCGATACTGATTTCGAATTTGAACCGTAACCACCAAGTCTAATATCCTAGCAGATTAGTGAAGAGGAATTTGGGTATGGGATGAAGTATGGCTAACAGTTATATTCATTAGACAGCACATTGGTTCTGTTAATAACTATGGATATGGACAGGCCCGTTGAAATGAAATTGCTGAAATTCTGCATTTTTCTCATTTTTCCAAACATATAATCCAGCTCATATATACAACCACAGCGAACCAAAATATTGTGAAATATTCTGACTGTTCTTAATATTTTAGGAAATATAGTTTTAAAAAGAGCATTTGTTTACAATATGATATGGACCGTAGTGGAGGTCAAGTCCATATGTGTAAACGAATTATTAGAGCATGTTAAATTGCTAGTGGGATATATGTCTTAAAGAGCACAGTGGATAGTACACCTGTTTAATAGACTAAGCATGTTGATCGAGCCATTTACCAAGAGGCATTATTGTCAACCAAGAGTTTATTTGTTTTAGCACTGTCAATTGTTGTAAATCTATCAAATTCTTCCTTTTTGTAATATTGTATTATTTGTATAGTTCTTTATCAACATGTTAAGTTAACATTGTTAAGCATGATGCCAATTAAATCTTTGGCCAGCATGACTGCAAAAACAAACAGTTGTTTTGAAAAACCACAAGAAAAGACAGTTAGACAGAAAAGACAGCTAGTTTTTTTTAAACCTTGCATACAAATTATTTCAATGTCTTTCCTATATATATATATATATATATATATATATATATATATATATATATATATATATACACCCATTTGCAAAAACGTTGGCCGCAGATAGATAGATAGATAGATACTCGAAGTCTAATTAGAATTGCATATGATTACATTTGCATGGGATTTCAATCATATTACACAACATATGCAATTCTAATTAGATTTCGAGTATCTATCTATATATCTATCTGCGGCCAACGTTTTTGCAAATGGGTGTATATATATATATACATATATATATATATATATATATATATATATATATATATATATATATATATATATATATTTTAAAATATATATAAAATATATTATTGCCTTTTGTAATAATATATATTACATATGTATAATATATTATCACATTTATAATTTATTAATATTGTCATCAATATTTTAACTTCTCTCTATAATAATAGTAGTAAATGGTTCTATGCACATTTTTAGTAGATTTCCTTTAGCCTCCTCTGCAGGCATCTCTTATGTATTAAAAATATGCATATTTGGCTTAAGCTAGCTGCATGGAGATGCATGTGGAAGAGGCTAGGTTTACTCTACATTGAAGGTTATAATTTGGTAAGTTAATTTTGCATTAAAGGGATCAAGAAGGGTTTGAGTTTGGACAGGGTATCTTATCCAGCACTTATCCATATCTTATCCAGCACTTGCAACCCTAATAGGGTAATAGGACTCCACTTTGTAATGTCCCACCCACTTGCAATCAGTAAATCAGTAAATGACAGTATATATATATAAGACTTTAGTTGTTTCAGTCATTTTATATATATATATTTGGCTCGTTATCAGCTGTTCTACTTATTATTCAATATTTTTGTCGTGCCAAAAATTGGCAGAGCAGCCGACTTTTATTTCAAGAAAAATACATTTACACACCAAGAGCTTCAGCGACTCAATAATAATAAAATTATGATTATCGTCGTCCTGTTATTAATGGCATGTGCAATTTTCTTTTATATTGAATGAATATAATGTAATCTGATTATATGAATATCTGCTTAGGTAAATATTATTATCAAATATTGTTATTACCAGTTTTAACACGTAGTTATCTCAATAATTTTTCAGATAGCAATTGCTAATGGCGAATGAAGATGAACCGTGTTGCCGCACATTTACGTCTGTTTGCCTCAAATTATCTCGAAATGTGCCGCGAGGCAAACTGAAGCAGTTAAATTTCTTGCTTCAAGATATCATGCCAAAAATCGACATTCATGACGAAAAACCATTTGTGGAAGTGATAAAGAAGCTTGAAGCCCGTGGAGTTCTAAACCGGAATAAACCTGGGCAGAACGAGGCAGTACTACTCTATGAGTTATGTGATGCAGTTTCATTGAACAGTCTGGGTGACGAGATATGTTTAGATTTTGCACTTGAAAGAGGTACAGTATATTTAATTTAAACAAATAAACAAAATATGAGATAAAAATATTTAGGGGTAAGTAGAACTGACAAAAAGCAACTTTCTGTTCATGAAAACGGGTTTTTAAATTCAATTTGACATTTAAACGTTCAACGAAAGCCTGTCACACAACTAAAGTGTTTATTAAATATTTTTTTGAATAGCTGATAATAATAATTAGTATTTTCAACTTTTCAAGACTCAAGTAGTAGAACTAAATAAAGCTTGGCCATGCCGCTGGATACTATACTGTATATTACTGATATATTAGAGTTTATTTATCGAAATGGTCAAAATTTCACGTGTAATAAAATATGATTATTTCAATGCGCATTATTTGTAACAATCGACAAACTTCTTTACTAGATCCGTTGCATCATATGCGTATCTCGTCATTCAGAAAACTTCTAGTAAAGTTATCTGACGAATTAAACCAGGATTCCCTTATCGATAAAATGAAAGAATTCTTAGCCAATACCTTAGATGGTGAAATTCCACACAGTTTGGGCGATGAAGATGTTTCCGCCATAAGTATCTTTCAACGCATGGTTCAAGCTTGTTTAATCTCGGAACAAAATTTTTCATTGTTGGAAGAAATGATAGTATTTTGTTCAAGAAATGATCTTCTGCAACACGTTGATGATTTCAGGAACAAGAACAATATTTTCAAGAAAGGTACGTTTGTATAACACCACGAAAAACGTCTGCGCATGCGCCAAATTATGAAAATATCATGGGAATTTTAATATCAACTTTGGAAACAACTAATGCGTACTAAATGTTAAAATTTACTGTCAGTTGAAGCATAAATCCATTTCATATGCATTTTGATTTAAAATAAAATCAGGCGAAGAAATGTACGTACGCCGTTAATTGCACCGTTTCCGATAAGTCGTGTATTAAATGAACGACTTGCGCTTTAGACTAATTAACTTTTGATCGAAGTAATAAGAAGAAAATAAATCACCACAGCTACAAAGAGCGTACTTAAATTACTCCAATGCAAAGTTTGGCTGCGAAATTTTGTAAAATTCGGAGCCATGCGAGGTTGGCATAATTATTTTGTATACTTTTGTATTACGCACGGAATGTGCAACGACCCTGTAACTAATTTAGTTACAAACTTCCGGCCGTAATACAAAAGTATGCAAAAATCGACAACTTAGCATGGCTATATTTTCCGTAATTTACAACAATTCACAGCCAAACTTGGTAGTTTTACTAATTTTAGTAAGCTCTTTCAGAAAATTTCCTTTTTACCGCTGAGATAAGATATTAGTCTAAAGCGCAAGTCTTCCATTACATGTCGAAATGTTTTTTCGTGAGTATGATAGGACTCCTATAATCTCGCTATCGGGACGTCAAATTGAAAAGTAGACTCTCTGTCTCTTCACTGACATTTAAATCCCTTGTTTCTGACAGTTTTAATTTTGATATCGTAGTTCCGTTTGGATTGCGAAATCTTCCTCGAGACATGGTGGAACGCCAAGCAGAAGTAAACGACATATTAAGCTTGCTCAGTGCAGGCAATAACCTTGTGGGCGTGGTTGGGGTTCGTACCGGCGATATAATTGGTATACGCGGTATGGGAGGCCTAGGGAAGACTGTCTTAGCCCAGGCTATTGCGTGGAAAGTGGCAATGACTCGTCAGGTTATCTGGCTTGATATTGGTCAAACTCCTGACTGCTTAGCACTGATAAACACTCTCGTAAAAGCTCTCGGAGGGTCAATGTCATTTAGTGATATATCCAGCGCGCAGTCCTGGATACGAGCAAACACGGTACGCACATAAATTTGCACGTAACATCCTGTATTTGTGTCTCTAATTGGTTAAGATTTGATTTATAGAAGCCGCTTTAATTGTACTGACTATTACCTATGCGAAAAATACTGATTTTTTGGGTTTTGACACACTAATTCGAAAATGAGCATAATCACGTAATATAGGCTCCCGGATCCTTGGTCAAATACCTTAATAGGCTTATATTTCATGTTCATGCATGAACTATAGCCCCGGCAAAATTGACAAATTTTGTGATGCATTTTTGAAGGACACTGTTCTCTTACTTTGTCTGTAGTTTTTGTAATTTTGTCTCTATTGTTCTGTTTTAATGTATTCTGTGGACGTTTTTAAACCCAATTAATTAGATAAGAATACACAACCAACTAACTCACATGCACCATTTGTGTGTAGGTGAATAAGGACTGTCTTGTTGTTCTGGATGACGTCTGGAATGTTGACGACGCTGGTGTCTTTGATTATCTTTCTGGAAAATGTCAATTATTGATAACTACCAGAGATTCTGATGTCGTTCGTGGCCTAAAAGCTTCAGCTCTGTACGAACTACAAACTATGGCACAGAATAAATCGAGGGCGCTTTTATACCAAAGCGCACAAGTTACCGATGACGAAAAATCCATGTTTAGCACAAGAATGCAGGCAATTGTTGTCGAACTACTGGAGCAGTGCCGTGGCTTGCCACTAGCTTTGTCACTCGTAGGCTCAAATTTAATTGACTCCCGGGCCGAACAAGACTGGCAAGATGTTTTAGATGACTTAAAGGATGCCAATTTGGAAGAACTAAGGTCTTTTTTTCCAAAAGATTCTTATCCCTACGATAACCTTTTGGCTGCCATTAACGTTAGTTTTGAGCGCTTGGAAGAAAGCCATCGAGAGAGGTTCCTCGACTTCGCGATATTTCCAGAGGACACAGATATACCATCTGATATTCTTGAGCTCTTTTGGTCTTCGGCCGATTCTGGGAAACGCACGTGCAACGCTCGGATGGGAAGGCGCATTCTTACTGTGCTTGAGAAAAAATCATTGATTCAAAAAGGTATTTATAGGACAGGGAACATGCAGAAGGAGCTAGAAGACGATTAGTACAGCAATATATCAACTTTGTCGACAAGTCTAATTACTTCAATGCTGCTGAACGTTAATAGTAGAAACAACCAAATACAATGAAACTCTTTTGATTCCTATATTAAATAAATTGTTCACAATGGAGCAGTGATCCCCCAAACACTTTTCAGCGAAAATAGATACAGGCGCTTAGTTGCAAAATAGTCCTATATATAGGACTGAGAATCAGATATAGCTTGCGCACGTTAGCAATTTGTTGGGTTGAAGGTGTACAACTTCTTAGACAGACTGTAACAGATGTGTTGGGTCATCGGTTCTATATACAAAACAGCCCGGTAACTATTTCTTAAGCATGCAGTAAAGCAATCTTAAAATATCAGAAGATATTTTTTTAGAATAAACTTGCATTTGCAATACGTCTTCATCTCGTGTGTTCTACATCGATTTAAACTGAATGTTATCGTTCGTCTTTTAGGTCCAGCACTGCATGGAAAGAACAGCTACCGTGTCCACGATCTGCTCTTAGACTTTGCGCGAGGAAAACTGCGCGACACAATAACTGATGTCCAGTGCATGTTTATCGAGGCACTGAATAGAAAATGTGTAAACGGTGAATGGGCGAAATTCCAAGGCAATAAAGATTATTACTATCAGTATCTTCCCTATCATCTGCACTCTTCCGAGCAGTATGGGGTGCTGCTTAATCTCTTCTTTGACTTTCACTGGTTGGAACAGAAAGTGAAGGAGACAAATTTGCCATCTTTAATTTCCGACTTTCGCTTTTTGGGTACGGATTCGTATGAAATTAAATTACTGAAGTCATCTTTGATGTTATCTGCAGACGTGATCGAGAAAGCGCCTGATTCAATTGGTCCACAACTGTTAGGTAATGAAAAACAGGTTTTTTTATATGAGCAGTTCTAAGACTTTCAATAGTTATTGAATTAGCAACGCTTATATTATGTCTGCACATGGCGAGTTCAGTACCGGGCTAGATACACGTAAACAAAACGTGTATAACGATTTCTCGTTGTTCTATAATTATATCATTTGTTTTCGAGGACAAAATATGCACTTTAATTTATTTTCAAAACCTTTAAGTTCTACCTTATTCGTTTGAACCCAGTGAATTTATAACACACGACATAAGATACGCGCATATTTAGTATAATCTCCGAAGGGTTTCTCCATCTTTCTCTTTTATTTAATTAGTATTTAAAAAGTATTGGGAAATCGTTGCTAATCTGTTTTGAGGTGATTTACGAGTTTCATGCAGGTATAACAATTTTTTCCATACGTGTCATATACGCATGTGCACCACGTGCAGGTAGATTGCTATCGTGTGCTGACGAACACCCAGCCGTGAAGCGGCTATTGGAACACATCCGTGAAAGATGCACTAGAAAATGCCGTCTTATGCCACTATTTTCTTGCCTTTCCGAACCTGTTGGACCGCTGATCAAGATATTTAGAAAGCACGTCGATAAAGTGCTCGCGTTAACCACATCCGTTAGTTCAACGGGTACAATTGTCATCTCTGCATCAACGGACCGTTCAGTTAAAGTTCATGATCTCGAAACAGGTGTGTATAGTAGCTACATGCAGCCATAGGCAGCCCAGAAATCTGTTTATACTCAGTCTTCGACGTACGGCATTGTTTACGCGCCCGGTCAGCTTCTCCTGCCTGTACTAATTACTGTATTATATATATTAATATAAGACAGTAATTAGTACAGGCAGGAGAAGCTAACCGCGCGCGTAAACAATGCCGTCGAAGACTGAGTGTAAACAGATTTCTGGGCTGCCTATGGTTCTATGAAAGCCGGATAGCGCTATCCACCGAATTGGGATTTTTTCAATCCCTTTAAAATCCCCCTTTTTTGGTATAACTTTGATTAAACCTCAGTATTTCTGAATCGAGGATCCTCTTTAATAATTTTTGGTCCCAAAGTTCAAATTTTGATTACTACTGAGCTGAAATATTTCAATGTTAATATTTTAACTGCCAATCAATGGAAGTACATATTAAATCCATTTTCGTACAACCGTCCCCGGCATTTTCCAACAGAATTAGTACTCATCGAGCCATTACATCAAATTTTCAAGTAATAAATCTTTTCATATTAATGTTATGTATACAGGCAAAGAGTTGCAAGTGCTCAATGGTCATACGATGGCAGTGTATTGTTTAGCTTTGTCCCATAGCGGGACAATTCTGGCCTCAGGGTCTTATGACTCCACCACTAGACTTTGGAATATGGACAGCTATGAACAGCTGTTTGTTTTACAAGGAGATGGTGGCTTTGTGAATGCATTGGATTTCAGTGCGGACGATCGGCGTCTTTTTACTGGGTCAAATGATGGTTTGTGTAGCCGTGAATAATTTATTGATGTATTGTAGTGTGGAACCTATACGAGAAGGTCCATGCAGCATCCGGATGCAGCATTACTTATGCTGTACGACCGCAAGGATGTCATCCATCTTATAAGAAACTCATTTTTCATAGGGTACCTCAGGGTGTGGCTTGTCGCTACAGGTGAACTGTTTAGTTCCCTTCCAGCACATAATGGTCATATTCGTGGTCTGTGCACGACCAAAGATGGTTTGTACGTTGCAACTGCATCCCTTGACTACACCATCAACCTATGGCGTTCGGATACATTAGAATTTCAGGGTTGTTTCATTGGCCATATTGATACTGTATACAGTATAGTGGCAACAGGTATGTAGTGCGACATTTATTGATAAGTAACATCGACTGTAATGTTATGTAGCGTGCAGATGTGGTTCTTTATTTTCTGTCCTTTCCTTCATGTTTAGGTGGTGACAAACCAACGCTTGTTTCCGGTTCCGGCGACAAGACCGTAAAAATCTGGGATTTGAAAACCTGCAAGGAAGTTCGTTCTCTCTGTGGTCACCAAGGCGAGATTTATTGTGTTGCTGTGAGCCCGGACACGAAGCACGTTATCTCCGCGGGCAAGGATTTGGTTGTGAGATTGTGGTGTTACCACACGGGAAAATTGCTATTTAATTTTGAAGGACATAGTCAATCGATCAGGTATAGATTTATCTGATATAACCATGACAGTTAAGACTACGTTTATAAGAGTTAAGGCAGTTTTATCTCGGTTTAACACAGGATAGTGGTAACATTTCTTTTCGTGATACCTTAAGATTGACGTTCACGGCAAACCGCGAACTGCAAACTTTAAGCCATATTTGATTTAGTACGAGTACCCATTTTAGCCGTGCCGATCAATTGAGTGTAATATAAACAGGGCTACACCCCACAGGTTTTTTGACAGCCTAGTTTAAATCTCATGCATTGTCCCAAATTCATTATACAGCTAATACTAGTTTACTGAAGAGTACGATTTTGAGTTTGCCGATTGCGATTAGCGATTAGCCGTAAACGTTAATCTAAAGGGAATGTCCATTCGGGGGTTGCGCATCGGTTCTGCTCATAATTCGGGGCCTTCTTATATATAAGTTCATTCGGGGTATTAATATTGGATTTTTTAGATGTGACATGCGTCAATCATTGCAGTTGGACAAATTAAAAATATCGGTTGATTTACAATTTTTAAAATCCCCCCAGACCCTACCTTTTACGTTACTTAGCAATGTTTTAAAATAAAAAGTAGACAATCTATATATATCCTTATGAATTACTCGGCGAAAAGGATGTTGTCACGCTTGTCTTATAACTCAGGAATATAAGACCGTTTAAGGCTGGCTAGTGCAAAAAAGCTTTTTTCGATGGTTTACAATAGATGGTATACAAAGTTTCATAAAAGTGGAGAGAATTGTAATTAAAAATTAGACTAATCCGTTTGTTGCCTTTCAGATGCGTTTCAATCATTTCCGATGGTTGTAAAGCTTTGTCTGGCTCCCAGGATAAGAGTTTTCGAGTGTGGGACCTCGACACGAGTGCGTATATGAAACGGGAGAGAATACGTGGTCACTCTGACGATGTCATGGACATAGCAATTACTCGCGATGGGTCGAGATGCGTTTCCTCCTCAAAGGATGGGTCTTTAAAGATCTGGAAATGTGAGACTGCAGATGAACGCTACGCATTGACAGGTATCTGAAACTTGAATGAAAAATGAAAAAAACGTTATGCTGACAATAAGATGTATATAGGTACTTTCAGATGGGCAACCAATTGCAAATAGTTATTAGTGTCATAAACCGTTCTAGGTCACACGAAAAGAGCAATAAGTGTTGCTATTTCAGTCGACGATCGCTACGTTGTGTCGCTCGGAAAAGATTCTTTCATAAAGGTAGAGTATATTTTAATACATCTAAACGGGGTTAGGGGATGAAATAAAATGGTGGGGTAACTAAAATATTAAATTTAAAGCTGGTTTAAAGAAAAATAACAACATAAATATTTTTATAGTAAAATTCACCATCCATGCATGCATACGTAAAATGACTGACATTTAGGAAGACTCCACATGCCTCTTTATCAAACTTAAGAATATTATATTATAATGCTTGTTATAAAAGGGTCAAAGACGTGTTAGGGTGCATTTTTTCATCGTCTTGAAGTGGGGCAATTTTTATTAAACAAAAAAAGGAGAAGGAAACTGCAGACTGATGCGACTGATGCAAAAATTTCACCAGCCTAAGCTAAGACTAGCTTCCCTGCTTGTTAAAAGTATTGATAATGAATATTATTCTCGACCGGTTTAACTAGTCAATGGAATGGTATAAAAGAGACTGACACGATAAAAAAGTAGTGAAGGTCGAATATACCGGAATGTGGCGGTGTATTCGACAATTACAAGGTCGAATGGTATCTTCGATCTTGGTAAGGTTGTTTTAATAAGTTTTATCCCAAGGTAGTAGTGTATAATATGGGGGGGGGGGCGGGGGGTTACGGTAAGTATATTCCATTGATAAAAAAAACAAGCGAATATATAACGTGAAACTTTTTGCCTTTTAAGGTTTGGAACATGGAATCTGGGAACGAAACAAATGTAATTGAAGGCGACAAACAAGCTCGATTTGTTTGCTTCAGTCCGGAAGGAGAATTAGTCCTAATTGGATGCAAAGACGATCGTTTTTTTATGTGGAATTGGAAGAAATACGATGTGCCTATCAAGTGCGTTAAATTACCCGCATTTACCACCATGGCCATCGCATGTGACAGGAATTTAGTTTACACGTGTGGTAGAAATAGCGAAGTGTGCCAAATTGATCGCTCATCTTCGCTACAAGCGACAGCCATTAGCACAGGGCCCAATCCGAACTGTACGTCCATGGTGATATTACCTAGTGGTGCAGCAGTATTGTCAGGAATACCTACATATAGTGTGTTCATCTATTGGGAACTGTCATCATGGCGAGAAATACGATATGATGCGGGTATGTAGGAAACATGCACGAGTAGCTGACGTACCCGGGGGCGTACTGGATGGTCCATAGAGATACCAGGAATTTTCTTAGGCCCCATGATTTATTCAACATTTTTGTAATGCAATTCACATCAACCTAGCTCGTATGTCTAGTCTATTATGAGTTTTAGGTTGTGCCCAAGTTTTCTCGACATATGATTTCTTTAAACCTTGGGGGTGATAACTAAGTCCTTCCTTTTGCCTATAGCCAATATTTTACAGTTATTTTGCTTGAGTATAAATTTCCGTTATATAGGCATGCAATAGTAGAAAATATTGACACATGCGGTGACATTACCACATTCATTCGATACTTGAAATTATCTGCTTTGTTTTTGATACAGTAAAGCTGGATAATACTTCCACCCTATGATTTTCGCCATTTCCTGAATTCACGCTGTATATGTATTTCCTCCATAAATGTGCCTCTGCTTTAAAACTATCCCACCCTCATTTTTAATTATGTTTCACAGTTTCCTGTGAAGATATTTTAATATCTTTCTGGGACAAATTATGACCTGGTCAGTAAAATTAGATCTATATATAGTGTTTTTCTTTCAGGACATCCAGACGAATCAATCGTAACTGCAATTGACATAACCTCAGATGGTAAACTTGCATTGTCTGGAAGCAGCTCTGGCACTATTTCTTTGGTGAACTTGGAGAGCTCTAATGTAGTGCAGACTTTCACAAAGACCGAATCTGGGGATGGCATACGCTTGCTTCGTATTCTGAGAGACGATAACAACTTTGTAGTTGTGAACGAGACTAATACAGTAGAACTGAGAAATTTTGATAACAGATCTGGAATGGTCATGGCTCAACCACCTTTTAAAGTTAATTGTGTAACCACTCTTGGTTTAAAATATATACTCCTGGGCTGTGCCAATGGGGATTTATTATTGTACGACTATCTAGTATGCCTTGATCGCGAGTACAATTATCAAGCGCATTCCGAATCCGTATCTCAAGTTGAAGGTCATCCAAGCAATGAATACCTCTACTTTTTATCCGGATCTGAAAATGGGTCAGTAAAACTGTGGTATGTTACAAAAACAACGCCCCCAGTATGGAGTCAAATGTGGTCACGTGACTGCATCCACTCACATCTAATAACTGCACTGGCTTTCGTTCCAAACTCCGAGGATGTCGTGAGCGGTTCCTATGGAAACGAGGTTTGTTTATTTTGAAAACATTTTAATAACGACTGAATTGCACGACTTGTGAAGGAGAGCCTAACGGTACAATGTTAGGGTATCGTTATTCGTTATGTACATTTACCCATAAGGAGAAATTTGTTTTAAACAAATCGGCACGTTTGTTTACATTTTTCCATCTTAGCCAATCAAAATGCCTAAACTTTGCATACTTCATGTAAAATGAAGTACTTTTTACTGAATGTAGCAAATGAATTTGACAGGTGCACCGAATAAACGCGACAGGAATCGTGCGTACATACAAGTATAGAAGTTATGGAATCGCAGTGCTGCGTGTCGTGGGCACCTTACTTGTTGCCGCCTGTATTCGTGGTCTTACTGCAGTGAAATGGAGTTTAAACGAAGGCCATGTGACCAAGAAGGTTCACACCGGCGCTGGTAGGGAGCAAGTATCACGTTTCAACCACACTTGCGATCACGTGGCCTCAAAAGGTTATTAGTTATTACTATACTGATTTCTGTCAATTTGCCAAGATATTGCTATCTTACTTATATGTTTATGCAATTTTTGCAATTTTAGGTTCTCGACATTCTCTGTTGTTTTGGAGTCTCGAAACTGGAAGAACAATCCATAAACTTCGTGGACACACACATGATATCAGGGCCTTGGCATTTGTGCCCGGAGGTCAATTTCTATTGTCAGGTTCGCGCGACAAGACTCTAAAACTGTGGAATCTACGATCTGGTTGCTTAGTTGAAGAGTTTCATTTTGAGCGTTTTGTTCTGGCCATTGCGTGTGCTCCAAATGGGATCGTTTGTGTAGGATTGCAAGGCGGTCAAGTCTGTTTTTTACGCCTCAATAATTTATAACCGTTTACAAGAAGCTTTAACAATAATCCTATCCTAGCACTTGTCTCTTTAAGCGCGAATGAGAGCTGGAAACGCATAAAGAATATACATGCTTATGTATTTCACATGATATTTCCTTTGTTATCCCAGTCTGTTGCTTTGTTTCTACATTGTACTTTTGTAGATAGATCTGGAATGTAATATATCAATTCCATTTTATTAAACCCTGCACGAGTTTCAAATAGTTATTAGTTCCATGCGCTACTACACCTAATGATCAAGAGCAGTCATGTCAAGCACTGAAAAGTACGATGAGCCTCGTGAGCGTCAAGACTTTTCTGCTGCGACTTCTTTGTCAGAATATGTTTCTGCTCCATAGAAATCAGGGTTTTTTCACACTAAATGACAAACGTGACATTTTTTCGTACAAATATCTCTCAGGATGTTCCCACTGAGTTGTTAGAAAAGTATGCCTGTAAATGAAAATGAAATTTTAGGGGAACAGGCCTTGATTCCAATAAAATCCGTTGGGTATATTTGATTCTATTATATTTGAAAACAATTATACAGAAGATTAGAGCGAGTGATATTTAATACCCAATGTATCCTGCACCCGCTGCATGATCCTATGATTCCTATCTATATTCTATCTACTCTATTCCATCCTCATTCTATCTCGATGTAATATATCCCTCCATCGGTCATGAAGCAAACTTCCCAGCCTGTTGGGAGAAGAATTTCTTTCTGACTTATTCTTAGAAGAAATTATCGTGGATTGCTTGCAGCTAAACGGAGATAACGAAGTGGCTTGATTCTGTCGGTTTCTACCTCAATCATCCGTTCCGCGCTACTGCTAGCGTTCCGGTGGTAGAACGATGAGTTGATAAAGGTGGGCTTACTCGGCTATACCTTCCATTCTACCTTACATACCAGACGCAGTTTCTGGATTTTCTAGAAACGCAGTTCCGCGTAACTTGTTTTCTGTACTTTAAGATCTAAAAAGCAAGACTATATTGCTCCGCAGCATTTATGTTATACCCGCTTTATTTTCGAATAACAAACATTATTTTCTAAGATTGATGTTCCCTGCAACTGCATGTTTAAGCCTTTGAGGCTGTTGCACAAGTGGAGCGCGCTGCTTCATCATGACTCAGCATTGTCCGAATTTAATTTTGTAGATATTATAAACTTCAACAAAGCTTGAGAAGAATACCTGTTTTTGCAAGTGGAAGTAATTCCGGTGGTTTCAAGTTTCACAGAAATTAGGAACATATCAGTCTATCAGCTGAGTAACTACAAAGACTTCAAGAAGTTGTCGAGCTGACGCTTCTCCTAATCGTCCCGAAGATATCGTCCTAAATTAAACGTGTTTTCAGGTAGGTTGCTATTTCGAATATATTTATGTCCATTAACATTGCTTTTCACCGGTAACAGGTTTGCGTGCGAGAACAATTTCTAGTAGGGAAGGCCCACTGGCACTGTGAAGGATTTCATTGTATTTAAATAAAGGCGCTCGCTTTGTATGTGACAGTGTTAATTATTTCACTCATTTTATTCTTTTAAACCATGCATTCGTTTAGTACTTTTTGAGCACGCACATTATTTGCCATTTTTATGATCACATTTTTATGACACAACATTCCACGTAATCGGAGATCATAAAATACAGGTACTAGATCATTTTGTCAATTTTGCTGATTCATGCTTATCTGGCATTTTGCAACTCTTGTAATTATAAACTGAGGTTGCCATACTGAGCAAAGAGCTCTTGCAACAATTTAATCATTTCAGGGCCTGGGTTTAAATTTTCCTAACAAACTACGTATTAAAGCCCTAACAAAATATCATGTGCAATAGTCAAAATATCAACAAAATATCATGTGAGTGTTGCAAAGTTTAAATTTTATTTTGAACATAGCACCAGAGCAAAAAAATTGTAGTTCATGGCAATTCACAGCTAAATTGTGATTTGTTTACATTTTTCTGATATAACCTAGGAGCTGAAACATGAATTAGCATTTTAAAGCTAAGCTATGAAACCTCATTTGTATTTATTTAATGAGACTGCATTGTGATTCAGATTAGTTAGTCTTTATAGACTTTGAGGTGAAACCTTTTAATTACTGATGTATATATAATGAGGTTGATTACTGATGTACACAATCAGTCATGTTCTATTTAATGCATGTAATAAACAAAACTAAAATTTTTAGCTATATTAATCCAATGTGGAGTCTATGAACATGTCCAAACAGTTCACTGATAATCAAATATTAAATTGTAAAAAGCATTTACAGAGAATGTCCAATTCTCAGGGCCATTCAAAGTAAATTCTTCAAATATTGAGCACATACTGGATTATTTCTGAATATTTATGGTTACTATTCATGCTCAAAATATAAGCCCAGTGGTATGCAAAAGTGTGTATATCAATTATAAAAGTTTTCCTAAATCACATGACCCACCCCCCCCCCTCGTCCCCAATCATGACTTGTTTGCAATGCCCTCACAAAGAGTTTTTGGTCCTATGAACCCTACTCTGCTTATTCCTGTTGTCCATATATTTCCAAATGATACAATTTAAACTAAATCATAAGTCAGGGAATATTGTAAATTATTTGAGATTTGTATCTGAGTTTCAGTGCTTAATAGCTCATGCGAATTAGGGTTTCAGAAGTAAGATATAGTGTATGTACATGCATATCGCCTAACCAAGGGACTATACCTCGTTAAAATTACCATTTATAATAGCAGTTATTAAAATAAAGCTTTTCGACTGCATCTTAGCTTTATATTAATTCACAGGCAAAACGGGTATAGAAATAGTAAAATAGTAATAACATGGAAAAACTAGTACTCGTACTGGGGTCCAGAGACCAGAGGACTGTTTTTTGCCAGATATGCAGCACATGCAATGTTTTGTTAAGCAGTACGTAATTCGCTTCGTTCGCTTGTACTACCCTAATATTAAAACAATCTGAAAATATGTTGTTCTATGACTCCAGAATTTCCATTGTTTAGTGAAAAAAGTTTTTGAATGCTTAAAAAAATTCATCCTACTTTCCGAAAGCTCTTCCGAGAAGATCATAATTTGAATTGAATTGAAGCAAAGTATTTCGATAACAATACACTTAAGTGCAGTGTCCTTGAAATACTCTGAATAACCTGTAATTTATCTATCGTGTAATAAATAAAGCGCCCTTGGTATGAAGATATATTGTCCAGTTTAGATGAGGATATCAATATTGTCATTGATAGTAATGCGCACTTGTATGCATTGGTATAAATTCTTATGGGCCTGCAATGATATTTGAAATATCAAATTTTGCATCTCTACAGGCATATAAGCGGACGCGTTTACCGTTTTCCGCGACAATTTGCTTTTCCCACATAATGATCAAAGGATTTTAAAAAAGATTCATGTGTATCATATAAATTTGTGTGGTATCCGGCGGTACGTATACACCTGTGGAGAATGAGAATCTTGCTGCCTCACATTGTATTTTCTCTAATCCATGCACGCAGAAACTCATCGTGTCTCTCCTTTTCTTTTCCGGGAAAAATAACTCACACAATCTCGTGTGGTCCGCAAAAGATACGGCCAAAGGGCAAAGAGGTATTAAATACTCTTGTCTGTTTCAGACCAGAAGTTCTTCTAACCTCATACGCCAGCCCGATCCAAGTATTTTATCCTTTATTTACCAGAAATAATTATACTCAATCCTTCTTTCTCATGTTCATCAATTTTACAAGCTAAACTTAAGACAAAACTTAAGACATATACTCATTTGTCAAATATTTTCGACCTTCTCGAATATACTCACGGTAACATTTGACCATGCACATGCAAAATCAAAAATGTACGCAAATAATGAAGCGATAAAATGGATGAAGACATAGAACTCGTAATGTGAATGGTGTTCGCTATCTCAAAGTATTTTTCTCAGTTTAGCACATTTCAGAGATCAATTTCGTTCGGCGGTCCAAATAGCGAAAAAAATCCAGTAATTACGCGTTATGGTTACCTTAAGTTACCCATTCATTTTAGTCATGAAAGACGAGGACCTTAAAATTGTGCAGACCTCTGACCTCAAACAGAAATGCCCTTCATTTCAAGAAGGCTGCCCATTCGCCAAAGTTGTTGATAAGCAGCTGATGCAAAGCATCGAAAAATGTCCGCAGTTCCAGAACGGGTGTCCCTTTAAAGATGCCAAAAGTCTTGCTGACATTTACGAGGAATTGTCTCATGTGCCACACTCGGCTGGACATGAAAGTGAATTCTCCGGTCAGAAGTTGATTGAGATATTTAAGAAAATGCACGACACTTCTGAGTGCCTGGAAGAAAAGATGGGAGATTGCCCGGTGTTTCATAAAGACGACGGATGTCCATTCAAGAATGTCCGCGATATAGAAGGCAAGCACTTGGTGGAACCTGTTGAGTCTGTTGCCCATGATCAAGTATGTAATTTATTTTTTTGTCGCAAGAGACCAGTAAATACAATAACTATACAATAATGTCAATATCAAATGTGGTCTAACAGCTTCCTAAAATAGACAAAACACTTCGCGACGTTTTGACCTGAGGGCCTTCGTCAGGAGAGTTATATAGTATGAAAATAGATCTGGGAGAATACAATGTTTTGTATGAAGGCAAAATATGGGGTTTTGTTTCGGCCCTGCGCGGCGGTTATTAAACAAAACAAATCTCAGCGTTGAAGCCTTAAAGGAAAATGCCTTAAAGGAAAATCACAACAAATGTAACATTTTTCCAGATTAATCTATTTGATTTTATTTTCTGACAAGTTCGAACCTTTCTTTTATTGTTAGCACGTCATTGAGGAGCTACAAGAGATCGATGCCACGCAGTTACAACAGCATTGTCCTGCATTTAAAGATGGCTGCCCATTCACTAAACTGGGAGACCAAAATATGAAAGATGCCATTGCAAAATGTCCCGAGTTCAAAAACGGTTGCCCGTTTAAAGATGCCAAAAGTTTCGCAGAAGTTTACGAGAAGTTATCCCATGTTCCACATTCCGCTGGACATGAAAGCGAATTATCCGGTATAAAGATGATTGAAATGTTTAGGAAAATGCACGACACCTCTGAATGTCTGGAAGAAAAGTTGGGAGACTGCCCCATATTTCACAAAGATCAAGGATGTCCATTCAAGAGTGTCCGAAATGAGGAAGGCAAACATTTAGCGGAACCAGTAAAGTCCGTTGCTCATGAACAGGT